GTAAAGCAAGCTGGGGTTCATGCTGATTTCACAGGAGCTGTTAAAGCCTGTAGTACGGGCTAGGGCCATAGTTCGGTGGGCGGGTGGGCACTTGTCTAGCATGTGTGAGTTCAGTTCCCAGCACTGCAAAAAAAAAAAAAAAAAAAAAAAAAATTCCAAATGGGAGCCAGGTATAGTGGTGGACTCCTTTAATCCCAGCACTCAGGAAGCAGAGGCAGGCAGATCTCAGTGAGATGGAAGCCAAACCGGTCTACTACATAGTGAGTTCCAGGCCAGCTGAGGCTACAGGAAGGCCTCAAAAAAAAAGTCTATAGCCAGGCGTGGTGGTGCACGCCTTTAATCCCAGAACTTGGGAGGCAGAGGCAGGTGGATTTCTGTGAGTTCAAGGCCAGCCTAGTCTACATAGTGAGTTCCAGGACAGCTGGGGCTACAGGGAGACCCTGTCTCAAAAATACAAAAAAAAAAAAAAGTCTATAATATGGTTTTAAGTCAGCCATGCCCCCAGATGATGACTGAGCAGGAGATGGAAAACTGACCAAGGCTTCTGATACAGAAATGGGAGCAACATGCCCCCTACCCCTGCAGCTCCGAGGCCAGGAGAAGGTCTGCCTCCCTAAAGCACACAGTGACCACAGCAGGGCTGTGGCCAGTGGCAGGAAAGGTGGGAAGGAACAAGTTAGCAGCCCCAAGAGCCCCTTCCAACTCTAACGTTCCAGCCACCGGCTGCCCAAGGACAGCCAATGGCTTTGTGAGGCAAACATCATGAAATGTTAATGTTTTAACTTAATTTTGGACTGTGACACTATCTCTACCTGCTGAGCCCTCTGTCTTACCCAAATTATGTTTGTTTTTTAGTGTGTGTGTGTGTGTGTGTGTGTGTGTGTGTGTGTATGACATGGTACACATGTGGAGGTCAGAGGACAGCTTTGGGAAGCCATCTCTCTCTTTCTACCATGTGGGTCCTGAGGCTCGAACTCATGTCATCAGGCTTGGCAGCAATCCCCTGTGACACTGTCATACCCACTTCAGTGTGGACAAAAGACAGTAAGTCCCCAAGCACTGACAGCTGAAGCTCCTCTTCCCAGTGGTTCTGTTTTCTGACATCTGAAGAACTCTACTATAGTTCCATTCGAGTGGTGTAAATCACGTCACCCCAAAGCATGGAGCAGCAGCTTCCTAGCGGAGGCCAGTCTGGGTCCACCTAAACTCAGCATCCCCCTGTCCCAGGACACAGCATCCATGGGGCCACCAGGTGGTACTGTGGGAGGGTAGTGGAGCCCTGGGGCAGCTGCTGCAGAATAAATGACCCAGCAGTGTGTTGGGGGAAGGGTCTTTATCCTTTCATCCCCCGGAGAGCAAAAGGAAAAAGAATAGGCTGCTGGCCAGGCCTTGGCCCCCAGTCACCTGTCACTCAGACCCAGGCTGCTTACTCCTGGAAATGCAAGAATCAGGCCTTGACTGAGGAGGGGGGAGGGGGAAAGGGGAGTGAAGGAAAGAGGGAAGGGGAAGGACGATGGGGGAGGAGGAGTGGGGAGGGGGATTGGGGAGGGGGAGTGAGGGGGAGAGGAATCGGTCTTGCCTGTTTGCATGAATGTCAAGTTTAAGCTACCTAGACGCTTTATTGCTTTCTTTAAGCTTTAATGGGTTCAGTGGAAGGGTGATTTAGATAACTCAGGTCTCCCACTATAAAAAGTTGAATTACAAAGGTAAAAGTAAAAATACTTCCCTGACTTCTGTTTAGTTTCTTGCAGTCAGATTCAGGCATCCAAAACCTTCCCCTGTGAGCACAGAGGAGATGGGGAGAGGGGGGGAGGGAGGGAGGGAAGGAAAGGAGGGATGGGGAATTTGAGACATTGGATATTCATTACATGAGAAGGAGGGATGGGGGAGGGGGAGGGAGGGAGAAAAAAAAAGGGAGCCAGAAGTCCCCAGGCCTCCAGCTCTGCTGCATGCTCAGCATGAGCTAAAACCCAGGTTTCTAAAGAAAGGTGCCTGAGATTTCAGATGATAATTGAACAGACACAGGCTCAGCATACAAGGGTGCCAAGCACAATACAGGCAAAGTTCCAGGCTGGACTCATGATCCACAGCGAACTTCTGGGAGAGCTGGGGTAGGTAGCAGAGCTCGGGAGACTTTGTTCCAGTTCTGTTCTCTCTGTTTGGGTAAGTTCCCTTTCTGCTCAGCCTCAGCTTTCTTGGCTGTGAAATGGGGCCAAGTGAGCCCTGGTGAGGCATGGTGTATAGAGAACTCTGCCTGCTGAGCAGTTCTTGGGTGGGAGGGTCTTGGAGACCACAGTGGGGGCTCTAGACAAAGATAAGCCCAGACTGTCCAGGTGGTGAAGGCCATTCCTGCTTGGAAAGAGAGTCACTTTAGATGAGGGTCCACCACACACTCAGCCACACATGCTCCATCACCATTACCGCTGGCCTCAGTTGATCCAGCTTCAGCCAAGCCTCGGGTCACATACAGGTCAGCAGGAAATGACCAGCTCACACTTCACTGGAAACCCATCGAGCAGTTCATGCACCATTAGGGACAAGTTAAAGGAAGCCAGACAGGCTGTCACTGGCCTGCAGACACTCCCCAAGGTTGCCATTGGACCAAAGAGCGGAGGTGAATCTGGTCAAATGGCAGAGGTGAATCGCAGGGAGAATCGCAAGTTCACCTGGGCAGAGCAAGACGCAGTGATAAGGAAAGATGGAACTAGGTATAGGTATGGGGTGCATGCCTGTAACCCCAGCACTTGGGAGGCTGAGGCAGGAGGACTGTGAATTCAACGTCAGCCTGGGGTATACAGCAATACCCTGTCGGGAAGGGACAGGAAGGGAGGGAAGGAAGGGAAGGAAGGAAAGGGGAAGGGCAGGGAGGGCAGTTAACAGACACTGAGCTTGTGATCGGGCTGGGAGCCCTGTGGCCTTTGCCCATCACAGACAATCACTGAAACTTATGGAAAGGCCACAGATACAATCATTTGGAAGATACAAAGATCTTCACTGGAGAGTCATTCACATTTAGAAGAAATTAAATCCAACAATAGAACAGAAAAAGCAAAGTTCAGCAGAGTCACCTAATGTTTCTAATAAAGACGCAGTGAGATGTTTTGATTAAAAAACTCAGTGGTAGCACCTACCTTTAATTGCATAGCAGAGGCAGGCAGATCTCTGTGAGTTCAAGGCCAGCCTGGTCTACATAGTGATTTTTAGGTCAGCCAGGGCTACATAATGAAACCCTGTCTAAAACAAAACAAACAAACCTCAGTGTGTGGGGGTGGTGGTATGGCTTAGGAAATAAAAGCACTTGCCGTGTAAGCCTGAGGAGCACTTGAGCTCAGGCTCTAGAACCCTTGTAAAAAGCCCAATGCAGTGGTGCACATCTGTAATCCCCTCCTACAATAAGGATGGGATGTAGAGACAGGAGATTCGCTGAGGCTCCTGAGTCAGCTAGCCTGGAGGACTTAGAGAGGCAGAAACAATAAGAAAGTCTCTACCTTAACAAGGTGAAAGGGGAGAAGCAGTTCTTGAAAGTTGTCTTCTGGCCTCACACATGTGCCGCAGCACATACACCCCTGTGCACTAAAAAATAAATAAAATATTAATCAAAGGCAAATATACAAACCTACAGATTTATAATTTAACTCAAAATGTTCATATTTCTGGGTTTTTTTGTTGTTGTTGTTTTTGACACAAGATCTCTTGCTAAGCAGCTGATCTTGACCTCCTACCTCTTGTCTCCCAGTGCTGGGATGACAGATGTATACCACCACACCCAGCATCCAAATGTATATAATGCAGTATCTTTATAGGAGAACCTTACACTCTGTCTTATATGGCAATCAATACCTTGTCTATTCTCTCCCCTGAAAGCTCTAGGAGGACTGTAAGAGTGAACTGCCACTGTATTAGTCTGTTTTCCATCACTATAATGAAATACCTGAAGGTGAGTACTTACAAAAAAATGGGTAATAGGTCAGTTTGTTTGTTTATTTTGAGACAAGGTTTCTTATAGCTTTGGCCAGTTTTAAACTCACTATGTAGCCAAAGAAGACCTTGAACCTCTTTTTCTAACCACAACAACAACAAAAGTTTATTTTACTTTCATTTGCATGTATTTATGTGTGTGTCCACATGTCTGCAGAGGCCAAAAGATGGCCTCTGTCATAGTAGGCTTCAGTGTCAACTTGACAGACCTTGGAAGAGGAACCTCAACTGTGGAATTTCCTCTATAGGATCTATAGGATTGGTCTGTGGGCATGGCTGTGAGGTATTTTCTAGATTGTTGAGTGATGTGGGAGGGCCCAGCCCACTATGGGTGGTGCCGCCCCTGGGCAGGTGGGCCTGTGTTGCATAAGAAAGCAGGCTGAGCAGGGGCCAGAGGAGCAAGCCAGTAAGCATCTTATAGCTTTGGCCAGTTTTAAACTCACTATGTAGCCAAAGAAGACCTTGAACCTCTTTTTCTAACCACAACAACAACAAAAGTTTATTTTACTTTCATTTGCATGTATTTATGTGTGTGTCCACATGTCTGCAGAGGCCAAAAGATGGCCTCTGTCATAGTAGGCTTCAGTGTCAACTTGACAGACCTTGGAAGAGGAACCTCAACTGTGGAATTTCCTCTATAGGATCTATAGGATTGGTCTGTGGGCATGGCTGTGAGGTATTTTCTAGATTGTTGAGTGATGTGGGAGGGCCCAGCCCACTATGGGTGGTGCCGCCCCTGGGCAGGTGGTTCTGGGTGTGTTTGAAAGCAAGCCAGCAAACAGCAGTCCTCCACCGCCTTTGTTACAGCTCCTGCCTCTAGGTTCCTGCCTTGAGTTCCTGTCCTGACTCCCTTCAGTGACAGACTGTGATCTGGGAGTTGTAAGATAAAATAAACCATTTCCTCCCCAAGTTGGTCAGTGTTTTAGCACCGCAATAGAAAGCAAACTAGAACATCTTCAGAACCCCTGGAGCTGGAGTTACAGGCAGTTGTGAGCTACCCCATGTGGGTGTTGGGAACTGATCTCTGGTCCTCTGCAATAGCAATAAATGCTCTTACCCACTGAGCTACCTCTCTAGCCTCAAACTTCTGATCTTCCAACCTCCACCTCCTGAGTGTGAGTATTACAGGTATGTTCTGCCACACCCAGTTTAGAAAAGATATTTAGCTCATGGTTCTGGAGGGTTCAAGTCCAAGACTGAGGAGCTCCACTGGGTCAGCTCTGGGGAAGATCTAAAGCCAAAGGCATCATGGTGGGCACATGTTTGAGAGGAAGAGGTCACAGCCAAACAGGAAGCCAGAGCCTATCATAAGAACTAACTCAGATGTCCCAGTCCCATCAGAACTATACAGTCTCTTCCACAGGCAGTAAGCTCCCCTTACATGCACACTTGGGGGATGAACCAGACCCAGACAACCAGGGGCATCAGTGGAGCAGTCTGTACTTTCCTAAGGTCTCCAGCTGAACACAATTCAAAGTCAAGTTTGATAAAGCCCAGGGTAGGGGTGACCTGCAGCCTGGGCCTCTTGGGGGTGTCTTGGAAGTAAAGGGAGGCTTCAATGGCTCATGCTTATCTGAAGCCCCCCACACAGAACTTTGGTGACAAGTCACTTTTGTTGACCTCGGATTGTGAGAGTAACCACATACCAGAGCAAACAGAGGACAAGGCCAATGTAGATGTTCTAGAATGTTGAAGGAAGGGATCAGTAGCCTTGAGATGAACAATGTTTGGGTCAATGAGGACAGAGCTGTGTGCAAAGGGATCAGTGTGGTCCAGACTCAACATGGGTCCAAAATCCACTTTCCTTGGAAACCACAGCGTTAAGGCTGTGTCCAAAATGCCCTTGCTGAGCCTCTGCATGGGGGCTGGAAATCGCTGGCAAAGCAGCAGGGACCCTCAGGGCTTCCTCTTCTTCTAATAGTCCCTCATACAAGCTGCTGGCTGTCAGTGAATGGTGGACACTTCCCAGTGACGGTGAGGGCAGTCTTCACCCACAGAAGTGAAAGAATATGGCATCTTGGGGCTAAGACATGTCCTCAGGAGAGACTCTGGAAACTCTGAAGTTGGCTGTATCTGGATCTTTCATTTCAGACTGGACAATTGCTGATCAATGTAGCATTTCCTCAGGGAGAAGGTGCTAAATGAATCCATTCATGAAGCTCTTAACACAGTGCCTGGCAAACAGTTAAAGTGAATTAAATAATTTCATGTAATATTATTTACAATACAAATTAATATAAATGTAATAGATGACCATGTCATAATTTAATTATTGTATTAATTATAATAATAAAGGTTGTGGTTAGATAAAAGAAGAAAAATTCGGAGCTAGAGAGATGGCTCAGCAGTTAAGAGCATTGGTTGCTTTTGCAGAGGACCTGGATTCAGCTCCCAGCACCCACTTGGCAGTGAACAGCCATCTGTAATTCCAATTCCAGGGATCCAGGGATCTGACACCCTCTTCTGGCCTCCACAGGCACTGCATGCATGGGTGCATTTACATACACGCAGGCAAAACACTTGTACACATAAAATAAATATAAATAAATCTTAAAAATGAATAAGAAGAAAAGTTCTCTTTTTTTTTTTACTGCTTTTATTCTGCAGGAGGAAAGACTAAATTAAGGGGTCTGGGATGTAGCTCAGTTGGTAGAGTACTTGCCTAGCACTTGTTGGGGAACCCTGCTGTTAGGGTTGTAATTCTCCATGTCCGGATAGCCCTGAGGGGCTCGGCGCCAAATGGAAGGACTCCCCTTTTCAGCAGGGGGCCTCCTGCTCTCTTCCTGGCTCACCTGGAAAGTGCCACCAAGCACGGATGCCTGACCTTATCTGAAACATGACCTTTGGCATAGTTACCTGGAGTAAAAACTACCCCCAGGTTTTTTCTATATGATAATCAGGCATTGCCTGATAGTCTGGAAGATAGGAGCCCACTGCCACATGTAAATAAAGCACACTATGAGCACCTATCAACTGAGGCTTTTGCTACTGCCTCCACACTATAAATTCTCTAGTTCTCCCACTGACTAAACAGAGCTGTTTCACTGTCTGGAGCTGTATCACTGCTGTTTCACTGTGCCTGCAACCAGTCTCCCCGGAAGGGCTGTCTTCCGTCAGCGTTCACTGGCCGTCCTGACCCCGTTTGCCGCTTCTGCTCTCCCTGCCCTCGTGGGCCGGTGGCCAATGACCCATGAAGAGAGGGAGAGCCTCCCGCAGCTCGTGCCCAACGTGGGGCTCGAACCCACGACCCTGAGATTAAGAGTCTCATGCTCCACTGACTGAGCTAGCCAGGCCTTAGCCAATTAATGTTGCCTAAAAAGCTCTGAAGGGAATTAAGTGGGTTGAAATCTTGAAAAGCACTCATGACTATAATCTCAGTATTTGTGAGGTGGAGTCAGGAGGATCAGAAGTTTGAGTCCAGCTTCAGCTACATAGTAAGTTCAAGGTTAACCTGGGCTACCTGAAAAAAAAAAAAGTGTGGGATAGATCGATTCTGGGCTTTAGTTTCAGATGTGGTGAGAAGGTAGAAAAGGAGGGTCAGGGATGTGCGTGTGTGTCCAGGGATCCCTATGCAGGAAGCTTAGTCCTCTTGTGTGGCAGTGCTGAGAGGTGTGAGAGGTGGTGGAAACTTGCTGGAAGTCCCCCAAGAGCAGGTTAGCAGAAAACAGTGAATTGGGCACTCCTTGAATCCCTCCTGCTTCCTTAAGCACATACTTTTCTGCATGTGGCAGGTTTCCTTACCTCTTCTACCCCCCACCACCCCTGTGTTGTGACACAGCCAGGGGCTTCAAACCAGGATGTGGGCACTCTTCTATCTGGACCCCTCAGTTGCCAGAATCATGAGCCAAACAAATTTCTTTCCATTATGAAGAACCAACTTCAAGTATTTTTGTTATAGTAGCAGAAAATGAACTAAGATATAGGAATATAAAATATTTAGAATCCTGGGACTGGAGAGATGGCTCAGCAGTTAAGAGGTTAAGTTTCAGGCCTCAGCTGGCCTTGAACTTGCAGAGATCCACCTGCCTCTGCCTCCCCAGTGCTGGGACTAAAGTTGTGCACCTCCACTCCTGGCTAAGATTTATTTTTATTTTAAGTGTATATGTATGTAAGTTCACCACATGTGTGCAGTGCCTGTGGAAGCAGAAGAGGGCATCAGATCCTCTGGAACTGGAGTCACAGATGGTTGTTAGCCACCATGTGGGTTATAGGAATTGAACCCAGGTCCTCTGCAAGAGCAGCCAGTGCTCTTAACCACTGAGCCATCTCTCCTGCCCCTATTTATTTTGAATGTTTCATACTCCTAGTGAGCTATCCTAGGGTCACGACCAGATTCAACCACAACATTCCTTACTCTTCATCTGCCCCTTCTCCACACAGCTCTGAGGTGATTCTATGCAATATTTTTGGTGGCCTCGTATTTAGACTGCAACCTGTCACACAAGTGGAATTTTCCCCTTACAGCATCATGTTGGCTGCCTAAAACTTTGAGATTTTGGAGCCTTGACCTGAGATTATGGAAAAACTACAGAAACTTCCTACAGTGTGGATAGACCTCAAAATAATTAGAATAGAAGCTAAATTCCAAAGTACAGGTTGTCGGATTCCATTTACATGGAATTCTAGGAAAAGGGAAAATTCGGGGACAGCATCAGCTCCAAGGCCATCCAAGAGGAAAGATAGATCACAAAGGGATGGGAGGGATATTTTGGGGTCCTGTGTGCATTAACTGAAGCTTGGTGAACATTATGCTTAATGTATCTGGCTTTCACAGAATGTGCAAAGAAAACGAGGGTGAGAAAATGTTGTGGAGTAGATAACTGTGAGATGAGGCTGGTGGCTGTGACCTAGTCTGCTTTGACATCCATGTGCTATAAACTGTCAACCTTCCTGGGAAGATTGGCCAGGAGAGGAGCTGCTGTGGAGACAGCTGCTGGTCCTTGAGGTAGGTAGGCACGCAGCTCAGTCATCACAGAGCAGTGTCACAAGGCTCCACTAGAGCCCTGAACACTGAGGACACCTGACTTCACAGGAAGCCATGAGCCACTTCTGAGACAGAGAGGCTAGATGCTGATGCTGAAGGGTCCAGGCTCCTGGGAGCTGGGGCTGTGAGGACACTGATTGCTGACTTTGAGTCCTGGTCCTCTTTGTTCTTCCTGCCTACAAAAGGTCAAGTGGCTGTCTTTTAAAATTATTACAGTTATGTGTATGTGTGTTTTGTCTCTCTGCGTGTGTATGTATGAGAGAGAGAGAGATCAGAGGACAACTTGCAGAAGTCAGTTTTCTTTTTCTTTTTTTTGACCTTTTTTTTTTTTGTGAGACAAGGTCTTCCAGAGACAGTTGTCCTGGAACTCACTATGTAGACCAGGCTGGCCTTAAACTCAGAGATCCACCTGCCTCTGTCTCCCGAGTGCTGGGATTAAAGGCATGTGCCACCATGCCTGGCTAGTTTTCTCCTTTTATGTGGGTCCAGGGATCGAACTCAGGTTGTCAGTCTTGGCAGCAAACCCCTTTACCCAAGGAGTCATCTCGCAGGCCCTCTTAGTTTTTAAAAAAATAAAGTGAATCAAATTTATTTTTGCCTAGAGAACTTCCTGATGTCTTCTGGGATAATTAGAGCCCACTTGGGATGGCACAAACACTGGGCTGGCCCTCTCCTGCCTAAATTCTGCAGATAGCTACAGTAATCACAACCTAGATACTCATGAGATCCTAGAGGCTCAGAGAACTGGGAAGTCAGTAAGAACATAGTCCCAGAGGGATGGGACCCCCACTGGACAAACGCCTTCAGTGGGACCCAGTCTGCTCAAGGAAGTGCCCAAAAACCCTGTATGAACAGAGCATGCATAGTTAGCAAGTTACCTTGGTGAGCCAAGGGGTGTGGGGTATAAATTACTGTTCCCAAGGGCAGGGCAAGCTTGCTGTGTTATGTGTTATGGTCCGTGAGTGCATCTAATTGTCGCCAGGGTGTTACCTTGTCCCAGGCTACCTCAGCAACCCTACAGGCAGAGCCTGGCTTGGGAGATTTCCTTATATGCCTAGAAAAGAGGCAGCAATTGTTTCCTAATCACTGCATATATTTTTTTTAAGTCCCTTCCTTCCCTCCTCCTCCTCCACCTCTTCCTCCTCTTCCTCTTCTTCACATATGTGTATACTTGTATACTAAGGCGCCATGTGGAAGTCAGAGGACAACTTTGCAGGCATTGGTTTTCTCCCTCCACCATGCTGAATTCAGGAATGAAAGTGCTTTCTTCTCTAAAAAATTTATTATATTAGCATTATTTTGCTTGTGTGCATGTTTGTCTGTGGCGGTCAGAGGACAACCTTGGCGTTGGTCCTTCCCTCCTACCTTGTTTTTGAAGCAGAGTCTTTCTTGTTGTTTGAGGCTGCATTGTACTCCAGGCTAGGTGGTGCAGGATCTTTGAGGATATTCTCCTGTCTCTGCCTCCCATCTTCCACAGGAATGCTGGGACTACAGACACATGCCACCATGTCCGGCTTTCACATGGGTTCGGAAGATCTGAAGTCAGGGCATCAGGCTCACTTGGCAAGCGCTTTTAGCTGCTGGGCCATTTCCCTTGACCCCCTGCTCCATGAGTATTGCCTATGTACTCATCCTCATATTAACATAAGAACTCATTTCTGTGTCCCGTTTTAGGATAAGGAAACTGAGGTCCAGAGTGGTAGAGTAGCTTACCCCAGGTCACACAGCCACAGCACTAGGATTTGAACCCCAATGTGCTAAGGAGGCAGGGTACAGTGAAGACCAGTCTGATCAAGCCCCAGTCTTGGGAGGGGGCTGGCGGCAGATCAGCCTGATGTCAGAGCCTCCCTGGCTCCCTGCCTATGTTGTCCTGGGTACTAGGAACATCTGGATTATCTCAGGCATGACTAAAGCTTCAAAGATGTACTGAAAGTTAGATCTTGTGACTAAGAGGAAGGAAGGGCTGCCGCTCAGTCTTCCCCACCCCAATCCCACACAGTCCTTTCCTAATTCCCTTCACTGGTTTGGCAGTCTGAGTAGGGAGGTGTGGGCCTATGGGATTGCAACAGCCTCACCATCTCCAGCCACCTGCCTTGCCTCATCCCTCCTGTTCCATGGAGGCTACGTGGGCTCCTGGCCTTGCCACTCGGACCCCTCAGAGTTCCCATCCCCAGAGTAGCACACAGCCCATACCGGGTACCTGTTCCTGCAGCCATCCCCTTATTTTCCCCCAATGCAGCCTTGTCTGCATTCCACCCCTGTTTCATGTGTGTCAGTGCTGGCCTCAGTCTTCACAAAGCCTCCTCAGTCACCACAGCACTGCCTGGGAACCCTAGCCCAGGGGACCCCAGGTCCGCTGCTCACTGGGACCTGGCTTAGGTCGCATAGTGTTCTGAATCACCTTTCTGAGGGCTGTCTGGTTCCCAGGTAACTGTAGGAGACCCCCAAGCTAAGCCCTCCTTGGAGCACCTGCCACCACCTCCCAGGCAAATCCAGAGCTCCCACCTGGAGAGAATGATGATGCAGCACTCAGCACAGGGGGCTTGCAGGCTTTTCCGGGTCAGTCTCCCCATTGAACTGTGAGCCCAAGCCACACAGAGCTGTTCTGGATAAGGTCAGAGTTGGGGGAGGGGGAGGGAGGGGGAGG